GCTAGGCGAAGTATGCATTTAGGATTTTGTACTTAGCAGTAGCAGATAGTTTTTTACTTAGGCTAGTGGCTAGGCACTTAGACTAGGTGGAGAGCTGTAGCTTATGTTAGTGGTTCATCGAACAGGATTTGAATTAGAATTTTAGGAATTTTTTGGGCTTGCTTTTTAGGTTTGCTTTTTGGGCTTTGGTGACTTCAAAGTCCAGCATTCGTTGTAGTTTCTTCTAGTTACTGTGCCCTCATTTGGGATTGTTAAACTTTTAATTGAGCTTTCAGCCGTCTTGTATATTTTTAATCATATTCTGATTCGGGCGTGTCCCATACAGGGTGGTTATAATTAAAGTGACCCAATCCAGACCACTCTAGAACCCGTTATACTTATTGAATTTTGATGAAATTTGGTATATATGCTTTAAACGATTTTGGAAACGACGTAATGGGGAAACGATTTCTGCAATAAACACAGAGTTCAAATTTTGACCACCAGGGGGAATTGTCTCGCCTAAAGAAGGACACAATACCTGTCAGAATCATTCAAATTTATTCAGTTACAGAATGTACTCAATGTGCGCTCCATTGACACCAATTACGTGTTGAAAGCGCATTATAACATGTTCAATGGTAGCGCTAAGTAACTCTCGAGGTATTTCAACAAGATAGTGTGTAATGCTGCGTTTCAACTGCTAATGCTATACCCTGTATTCAGGTAAATTCGTAATTCCTTTTTCATAAACACCTCTTTTAAGAATCCCCACAACCAGAAATCACAGAGATTTAAGTCGGGGGAACTAGGAGGCCAGGCATCCGGAAAAGCTCTGGATATTACACGAATCTCGCCAAAGTTAGCACGAAGCAGTTCTTTGACTTTGCTCCCAATGTGAGGATTTGCTCAATCTTGTATGAAGACAGTGGTCTGATAAAACAGTTTTACCAGAGAAGCTCGATCTTACTTCTTCAAGGGCATGATTAACGATGACAAAGGCACGCAGAATGATTTTCAGGCTCTGGCTGCAAGTCTCTTTATAGATTTGCCTAATTTGCATAAGAAATGTTTGAAAATTGCCATCTGGTGGTCAAAATTTGAACTATTTTTATTCCAGAAATCTTTTCTCCATAGTCCATATAACCTATATACCAAGTTTCATCAACATCCGATAGGCAGAACGGGTTCTACAAAGGTCTGAATAGGGTCACTTTAATTATAACCACCCTGTATATTGCTTATTGTTAAGGTTTAAATAATAATTGTTAAGGTTTAATCCTGGCGAGCTAACTTAGACATTAATATCAGTGTTTAATAACTGATGTCAAAACACAGTTATGATCTTGCATTGCCCTCATATGCTTTGGGGCAACGAAATATTTCAATTCCTCTTTTAAATCTACTATGCCATAACTAATCATTCATTCTGATATAAAATGGAGCCGTCAAGAACTGAAGCAGATAAAACCCCTTATAGTGATAATTTTTTTTTCTAAGATTAGATTTTAAGTGGAACTAGCCGACATTTGGATATTTTCGCAGTTCATTTAAAGGAAAGTATATTTGATCCCATCCGGAATGTTCTCTAAGAAGATAAACATTCCAAATTATAGAATGAAGCTTCATTCAATCGTATTTTCAAAACTTAAGATAATGCTCTGATCATTTTATGGAAAAACATCACATTTGGGGAAATAAACTAGAAATATTTTAACATCAACAATAGTATAAAAATTCATCCACTGTATCTGAAATACAGAATTATTGCATGAAATTAATTTTATTTAGCAGTTTAACAGTATACTCCGCAACAGGCACCAATACGCAAGTATCAGCCTTAAAGTATTCAAGTTGTATTTTTAGTATTATGGAATTATGTTTGTTCATAATATCAACTTGTATACAGGTATGGCCCGCTTGACGACCGACATTTTTACAAAAGATAATGCTCTGATTAATAAGTACCATTTTAGGTTAACGAAAGAAATCTAAATTTTCGTTTACGGGAAGAAAGATAGAACGAAAATATAATTCAGCGTTTTATCTAACAAATGCATATACATTTGACTAATTGTGATATAAAATATGGGTTCAAGGCAATTTTGAAAGAAATTTTTATTTCCTATGAAGAACTGGAAAGAAGGTTGAAAAACAATAGTTGAAAAAAGTGTGCTTATTTGAGGTCTAAACACATTATCTTATTGCAAGCATTTCGAATCGTTTAAAACAGAGGTTTTGAAACTGTTTAACTCGCGGAACACTTTTTAGAATTAATTTCTAGGGCGGAGATCTCATGCCTACTTCATGTTTTAAAAGTTAATAGTGATTAGAAGTAGTGTTAGGGAGGTGTAAGAGGTGATTATCCAAGCAATGAAAGGATTTTAAAACTTTGAAATTTACAATAATATCTCTATTTAATCACAGCTAAGCTGTTCCTTTGCCAAACCTTTACCATACAAAACAGTTATTTTAAAGTTCGATACATCAAACTATTTGATTTACAACAGAATCATTATAGTCAATTTTATTAAAAGGCTAGTTCTGTCGTTATTTGTTATTTAAAATTTCTATTTCTTACAAAAAAAACTGTTATAATATAATATTAAAAACTAGAATGAACTGTAGTACAACAGTAGGCTTAAAGAATAACTGATAAATGTCTAATGAGACACGCTTGGTTCCGATTTTCGGTACTGTTTTCTTATTTTTAATTCAGTTGAAAATAACTGTAGGTTCTGCGTTAAAATGCCTTTCTCTGCTTGGGTACTTGAATAGGCGGAAACTCCCGATTAATAGAGATAAGTTGAGAAAGGCAAAAATACTAATTTCGTTTTCTCACATAAGATTTTGAAGTCATCTCGTAATTTTTATCAAAACTCCGATGAAAACGCGATTTTTAGTTCACTCTCAGATGTCAAATCTGCAAAGACTTTGTTTGTACTGTATTGAATTTAAGCTGGATGGTTCTTTATTCATGCTGAATGCATTCAGAAACCATTCTCAGTCATCAAGCGCCGCTTTAGATGTTGGAAGTAATATTCAAACAAAGCTTTCAATATTTTGAAGTACTCCTGAATATTTTGTATCTTTTTTCTAAATTTTGATGTTTTTTCCTTCAAATATCTTTTTTTTTTCTTTTGTAAAAGAGACGCAATCGATATCTTAATTTTCCATAGACTTCAATCAATACATGTTTCTTAAAGAAGACATTTAGGAGTTGATATCAAAAATTGGGTCTTGTTTCATTCTTTGATGTATTCGTTTCATCCATTTTACTAAACAAGTTGGCCAAATGTGGCATTTTGTATGTTCAGGCTTCATCATTTACAAATGTTGCTAGTAAAGAGTTATGGTCCATCAAGCATGCTGCTGCCTCTATATACAGTTCCTTCTAACGTTGTTAGTGAAACTAGTTTATAGTTTATATTTTGTTTACACATGAAAAAAGTCTCCCAAAACCAATGCAGCTAGACCGTTTGCCTGGGATCAAAGCCGAGTCGAACTTCCAGTATTCGGCGGTTTTAACCAATCGGCTATTGGCAAGGTGATGCTGTGAATAGAATATGATACAAAATACCTAGCTGTACTGTGCGAGTATTCTCTGGATCTATTAATGATAGTTTTGTTAACAGCATGATACTAATATTAAGATTACATGAATTTTCAAACGCAAATTAAAATCTCCCTTTAGAATAAGGAGAAAAAAAAAACCTTGCCGTGCTTCCATCTTTTGAGTCACCAAAATTATGCCTATCTCTGCCCGTGATTAATCCAAATCATTCTTTAAATATTTTTTCAATACTTTTTTCCAGTCAAATACCACTATAACGTCTCTTTGGGCTTGCCCTTTCTTATCAAAAACGTGTAGGCAAAATATTAGCAGAGATTCGAAAAAAAATCCATCCATGCAATACTGATATTTTAAACTGTTAAGTTTTAGATCTATTTCTCTGCTCATAGTTCTGACAACAAATTCTTTTGTTTTGTTGCCGCAGATATAGCATCATTATATAGATAAAATATCAGTAATAAAATTGCATCAGTCAATTATCTTATCATTAGTCACTGAAAAAATTAAATTATGAGTGGCTGAAATTGATCTACCCTTATGTAAAACACTATTATGTAGTTTTTGATTTCTTTGCCTGCTCTATTTTGTCTTTTCACAGAAATCTATTATTAAAAGTATATCTGTGCCAAATTATTTTAGACCTATTAAGGTCATAAACTAAATGTAAAAGTGAAATAGATGTTATAAACACAGTTGAATCACTGGTTTCAGATCCATGGAATTCTGGTTAGTAGGAATTCTTTCACTAAAAATAATCGCATTCCCACTTTGTTTTTAAATAATACTTTTATTATTCTTCTTAGCTAAGTGAAATGACAACATTTTCCTTCACAATAATAAAAATTTCAGAAATACGATGAAAATCTTAAAACGTCCTATTTTAGAGATACAAATTTATTATTATCATGCTGTCAAAATTCAATCGATCTAATCCAAAAGATAAACTGAAAAGTATTCCTTTTTCATTTTTCTCACTTATTATGATAAACGTTTTAAAACTTCAGAATTTAACCATTACAGTTCAAATGTTTTTGCTGGGTACAAAAATAAATACATACTAAGACATACATTTCTTACCTGAACTATCCATAAGAAATTCTCAAGTTAGTCAAAATAAAAGAATTATAAATCAGATCAAATACCATCCGACGAAAGTTTAGGCTTAGAATTCTTGCTCAATGGGCAACAGTCGCACAGTTAGCAATTTCTGCCAATTAAAGTGTGAGGAACTGAATGTTTTGGGATCCAAAACATTAGTTTTCGTCTATTGTATTTCAAAAAACATGATTGCATTGTTCGTCTTCTAGCAAACGACGCGTTATCTGCTAGAGAAGATGCGAAATTGGACTCGGTAAATTCATATTCAGAATATCTAATCTTTTTTTTTTTTCATTCTAATTTTTTGTTAATTATTCTTTAATTTCATCAATTTTTTATTTTTCTAAAGCGGATGCTGAGCCCTATGAAACTACCCCGATTACAGCTATGCAAATCTATATTTCCAACCCACCAATTGCTTCTGAAATCAAGAAACAAGCGGTTGGTACATTCGTCAAGATGAAAGCATCGCATAGAGCGCAATAGATGAACGAATGCAAACCAAGAACCAAGTGCTATGAAGACCCAAATGTCTCCCCTAGAGATTTGTGAGAAATGATTACAAGAAACAGATGAAACCAAACCAATGAATTGTAAAAAGTTCATGGCTAATCCCCTTGAATATATTGATATCAAATACCAGCTGGATATTAATGACTTGGGAAAGAAAAACCTTCCTGATGCAATATTAAAATCAAACATATTGTATATGTTATATGAGCAATACCCTGAACCTGAATGGACTGAAGTATAAACTGATGGCTCTAAAATACAAGACAACACTGGGGCTGGTGTATACAGTAAACGTTTTTCCCAGTGTACTCCTGTGGGAGATTTCATGTCGAATTTTGACGCAGAGATCCTTGAAGTCTATCTGGCTTTGGAAAACCTTAAGATAAAGATCGATTGTTTCTCTAAAGCAGTTTTTCTAGTCGATACCGAAGCAGCCATCCAGGCTGTAGTTATAAATCATAACACAGATACCCAGATTATCTCAGAAATAAGACAAACCTTGAACTTTATAAACACAACAAAACAATCAACCGTTTTCAACGGATCAATCTTTTTCAACGGATCCTTTCATATGTACGTATCGGCGGTAACGAAAAGGCAGATTCATTAGCCAAGAGAAGAACACTTGCGTCACAAGACAGCAAACCACTTCCTCCAGAGTTTCTTAAAAAGCATATTTTTGAGAAATTAATGGCTACTCTTAAATCTGACCAGGCAGCAAAATCAACAGGCAAATCCTGGGATAGCATTCAAGACACATGGAAAACGTTTTGTCAAACATCTCGTAAAGAGCCTGTGGCAAACTTCAGACTGAAAGCAGGCCGCGATTGCATGCAAGATCATTTCAATAAATTAACATCCTTCCATGTAGCCTATGCCAGATTTGCAATTCGGGCATCATGAATGATGCATAACATCTTCTTATATGCCCAGAACTAGGTAAAGAGTCTCAGAAATGTGTGAGATAAGTAAACTATACTGGAATGCCAGAGCTTTCATGAAATCCTTGTAAAGACTATATCTCTTTTGTTCCTTTCTTTGTAGTTTAAATTTTTAACTTTTTACTTTTGTTCCCATGTTCATTTATTCTGATTCTTACTTTAAATGTTTGTTCTTTTTTTATTACGTATCATTGTTCTTGTGTGATACTTGAGATGTTTTATATGTTTTGATTGAGCTTTCTAATAAAGCCATATGTAACAACAACATTTTTTACACAACGAGGCCTTGTATCTTCGACCTCTCAGCACATAATCGTCATAGTCCATTACCTTTCTGACGCCTTTCAATTCTGGAAATTGAAACAAAAATCTCGCAAACGCTATTCGTCTCTCTCTGTTTCATATATTGTATACAGAACTTCAGGTTGTGCCATCATCCTGAACAATGTAGTTCATGTTGTAATGCAAGAGGAAATAAAATTATCTCTAAACCATTTGGCACAATATCTATCAAAGATGTTAGAGGTTCTTAATCAGAAACAGATCCAGTCATAAACCATTATTTATCACATTTCTTACCCTTCTACCCCTTATCAAGTTGTCTTTAATGTGGTCAAAGCCTTCAGACAATCGAAACTATCGAAATCGACGATATGGCCAGTCTATAGCAGATAGCAAAGGAGACATTCTATGATAGCTTCCGGGAATGCCATGAACAATGGAACCAAATGTATATTCTCATGAATGTTACTTCAGAGACGACTAGCTAATAACTTTTTGCATTTCAAATGTAACTATGCTATAGACATTTCCTGCATATTTTTACAACATAGAAATATTTATCATATTATATCTTTTACTTTTATTTTGATATTTTAGATTTTAAGAAATATTTAGAATGATTTGATTTTTTTTATATTTTTGAATATAAATTAACGGTAATTGCTACTTAGCTTTGCCGCATTTCACCTTATAAAAGGCTTTACGTAAAATCTCTACTTCCTTAATGTTGGTATTAAGTAGTATTTTGGTATGACAAGGAATATATCATTGTACCAAAGCAAACATTAACAGTGAAGGAATGAATGACGCGGGAAGCTATCAATGTATCTTACTTGGAAAGTTAAGGACCAGGATAATCACTGAAATACAAACCCAGTCTGTTTTAGCTAAGAAGTGTATTTCGGTCTTCGAAAAATGTAAACAACGCAATGCATCACTTGCTAACAAATGTGAAAGATTAAAAAACAAACTTTACTCGTATTCAATAAAATGAAAAGAAATTTAGCATTAAATTTAGAAGATGAAGAAATCGATCAAAAAGGAGGATTAGGCATCTCATGAATCATTTCTAGTTATAAAAGCAAATTCAAAAAGCTGAAATTTCGAAATGCAAATCTTTGAAGAGTGGGAAATGGTTATAATTGGATTCGTTGAAATGGAACCTCAAGTTGTGTACTGTGTTGAGTCTTAGAGTGGAAAACATACAAGGGGAAAATGTTCTCTTACGTTGACAGAAAGTATATTTCACTGTCTGTTTATCTGTCACCAAAATACGTATATTACATTCTCATATTTCTGGGACAAGATTTAGTACTGGAGGAAAAAAGCTTTGCAGTGCTTGGCGGAGGAATGAAGCATGAAAGTTTTTCCTTTTTTATCTTTTTTATTTTCGGAATGCCTTCAAAGGAAAAGAGATTTTCTTAAGGACTTCAAACTTTTCTCGTAAATAGGTGCAACCGATTTGAAAAATTGCTCATAGTGTTAGCATCATTACTGGAAACTGAAAAATATTTCCGGAAATTTAAAAAGAAGAGACCAGTTCAAATACTCCAGTTTTATGTTTCATGCAGTGAACTTATGAAGGAAAAAATTGCTCTCAGAATAAAATTTCAATTGTATTTAACATCTATAGTGAGCTAAAAATATTCTTTTAAGAGGAAAAAAATATTTTAAAATGAACTTCATTGAGCCTAAAGATTTTCCATCAGATACTATTAAAAATATCACATATTTAACATGCTGTATAAATTGTTCATATAAATAGTAAAAGTCTTTTACGCATATTTGCTTTAGATATAATATTTTCAAAAAGGTATTGGAAAAAATTTTATTTATGTATGTATTACGTTTTTCAGAAAGGTATTGGAAGAAATTTTATTTACGTATGTATTACGTTTTTCAGAAAGGTATTGGAAGAAATTTTATTTACGTATGTATTACGTTTGTTCTATAAATATTTAAAATGTTACGCTTTTTACAGAAGAGTTTCATCTAGCACAAAAACGTTTTTATTTTGAAACTTATTTGACCGATAATTCAGCTTTATTACTAAAATACTGAAGTAAAATTTTATGAGAAACATTTCCTATTATATTTATAATTACATTATTTATTTTCAAAAGCTAAGTAAATAATGTAAAAAAGAAGTTAATTATTTGTTAGTCAATAAATTTTTCCTGCAATAGAAAACATGGTATGTAATAATTTTTAGTACCATTCGTAATTATGGCAATGATGAATATTTGAAATGATTCCGTTCATTCAGCCGTTTTTATATTAATCATTTTACTCACGTTTGGGCTTTCTTGATGACAATCATTCTACTCGTGTTCAGAGGCTTCCTTGATATAATTCTTGCAAAATGGCTGGAAGAAATTTTCTTTTTTTTAACCTGCTTGGAAACTTGAACATAACAGAATTAACAATGAAATCTTTGCAAAACTAGAATGCGTTTCTTATCTAAAAACCAACTGGTAGGTTTAATAAATTATTATAAGAAACACTTGGTGACAATGTGTATTAAAAGGCATCAGGTACTTTTAAATATATAAAAATATGCTTTTAATTAAAATTCGTTTTCTTACAAGCATTTTAAAACAAACCTCATGTAAAACTTCGCTTTAGAACCAAAGTTATGGTAAAATATAATTTACATTTCAGCAAATATGTGGCATTAAATTTTCCTATTGACTGAACTATACATTTAAAGTTTCTGCATACAGTTTTATAGAATTACATAATTATACGTGATAGAAAAGTTAACTTATCAATATGTCTACTTGTCAGCACGTCTATTTATTACTTTTAAGAGAGTAACATTCTTACAAAATTCCTAGATAATTTCATTTTGAGTTGTGATTTCATAAAAGTGTAATTTCTCCGCTTGCGTGCATGATTTTTCTGAGCTGATTAAAATTTTATATTTTTATCTTTCTTAAATAATATGAAGAAAATTATATGTAGTTACGTGATTTGAAAGTAAATTTACCTGCTTCGGCGCACGATTTCTCTGAAACCATTGATCGAAATCTCAAAAAACTTTGATCAATCGTTTAAACTTTGTATCAGTATAAAATAACCAACTACTATGCTTCTCGCCTAAATTATATTTAATTTTATATTAAAAAAATCACTATGGCAAAAACCTATGTTACAAAATCACGATTTTGCACTCTCAAGTTAAAAAAATCTGATGTAGACACCACATGACTTCCTTGTACGGAATATTAAATTATAAGCATTTTTTTCTTGAATTTCATTTAAATTGGTTCCATTGAATTAAATCTACTTCGTCGACAGCGCATAAACCACAATAAAATAAATGCACTCTTTAAAATTCATTATATTTGTTTACTATAACGACACTCTGAATGCACAAAATTTATATCATTTGAAGAATTATCTTATCGTTTCCACATGTTCTATTCAAATACTATAATAAAGCTAGAACGATGTATGAAAGAAATTAAGCAAACAAAACAGAAAAGAAACAGATTTTCACAGACGATTTAGTATTTCTCATTCAATTAATTCAGTTCTCACTTCGCGACCTTAACCGGAAGATAAGAACAACATAATTCAATCATTTTTAAAGCAAAAAATGTACAATTTACAAACATATAAGAGTAAAGAAATTGGGATCACTGTGCCGAGTAACAGAGTGGATATATATATAAATATAGTATTTATATACGTTTGGTGCGGCCGATTGCAACCAAAATACGAGGTACACATCTACATGTTATAGCAGTCCTATATACAAAATTTCAACGTTCTGAGGCTACTCGTTTTCGAGTTATGCGAGATACGTACGTACGCACGTACATACGTTCGTACAGACG